CAAAATGGCTCGAGTACCTCTTTGCCTATTGTGGTGTTCTGTCACTTCAGGTGTGTGTATATATATATAATTAGAAATTCTTATTATGCTTAAAAGTATAGAAAAGTCCCTAAATTTTAGATCTATTTTAAAGATTCGTACATGAACTATTAATGATTTATATAATCGCATACACAAATTTGAATAAACTCTGCAAACTGCCCCCTCCTTTAATAAGACTTTTAGTAAATTTGTTATGCACATATGTGGAAAATTGTGGGTCCCGCTTTTATGCTTATGTGGATTCCATATAGACAAAAACTGTTGCGAAATTTGAACATTCTGTTTCACCTCTATGAAAGGTAATCTTGGTAATGACTTTTTTACTTTAAGAAACAGAATTACACCCACATATAGAGAAAAACATAGTAACAGGACATGTAAAAAAAATAGTTACTGCATGTTATGTTTATAACTTTCACTATATTATTCTATACTTGAATACTTCTATCTATGATAACACACTTAATCAAAAGGTTATAATGAAAAAATATACATATATTATTTGAGGATTTGTTGGTGTGTTTGGATTTTTCAGGGTAGTCCAATTGAATGGGTGAGTAACCATCGGTACCACCATCAGTTTGCTGACACAGAGAAGGACCCTCATAGCCCCATCCAGAGCTTATGGCATGGTAGCATCGGTTGGATCTTTGATACTCATCGTCGTCGATGTGAACATGTAAAAAGCACACATAATCCTCCCTCTCTCTGTCTCTCTCATGCACACACCAACTGATATGTATATATACTTATTTTATTTACTTTTTAAACGAGAAATTTACAGCTTGGTGGACTGAAGAACGTTGAAGAATTAAAGAAGCAGCCCTTCTATAGGTTTCTTTTTCGTACTAACTTTCTACATTCATTTGCTCTTGGAGGTTTACTATATGCTGTGGGTGGATTTCCCTTCTTGGTCTGGGCAGTGGTGAGATCGCTTACTCATTAATGTACATTAGTTCTTCTCCTAAATAATCACTCTCTATTAATCATTGCTTGACTGAAAAAAAATAAGATACAATAAACGTATTTTAATATTAAACACAACAGCGAAACTAGGAATTTTTCAAGGACAATGCTTGGCTCCTAATATATCAGGAGCCATTCCTCCTCAACAATGATGTGGTCTCTTTAAAAAATGACACATGTTTCTTTTTTTCTTTTTTCTTTTTTTTTAAATTTTAAATTTGTTTCACTGACTCTCCCTCTCTCTCTTCTCACCCACTCTCCTATCCTCCCCCAACTCTCTCTTCTCTCCTCTTTTGGAATAGGAGAGATGAGGGAAAATGCAAAGGAAACAAAGAGAAAGAGTGAGCAAAAATCGAGAATCCATTAAAAAATCTAGGGTTTTGGCAAGGTCTGAAATGTACAGAATTGGAGAGGAGAGGGAAGACTGGTTTTATGGTGGAGAAAAATAACAAAACGGTGGGTGTGTTGTTTTGCAATTAATTCATTGAAATGTCAAATGACTCTGTTTGGTGGGCAAATGAGGAGGTGAGTATGTGGGGGTTTCGTTTAGAACTTTCTCTTGGTTCAATTGAGACAAATGAATGGGGAGGTGAGTGTCTGGAAGCCTCCTAAGAATTTCAAGAGAGAGACGGTTACTATATGCTGTGGGTGGATTTCCCTTCTTGGTCTGGGCAGTGGTGAGATCGCTTACTCATTAATGTACCTTAGTTCTTCTCCTAAATAATCACTCTCTATTAATCATTGCTTGACTGAGAAAAATAAGATACAATAAACGTATTTTAATATTAAACACAACAGCGAAACTAGGAATTTTTCAAAGAATGGACTAGCTTAAAATCTAATGATTATTCTTTTACTTACCGGTTCATACAATCGGGGTTCACCTTCTTTCCTTTCTGTTGTACATCAATTTCGGGCGGGTCGAGAATACATAGTATGAGAAAAGATATTTGTCCTTGATATAAAAAAACATGCAAGTAATAAAGTAAATACATGAACCGATAATTTTATTCTTAAATTACTTTAAATAATTCCTTTAATTTTGACGACCCCTAAATTTAAATTTCTTTTTAAAAATTTCCCTATTCAGCTAAACATACCATCTTTCACTTTCTACATCCAAACATGTCCTAAATCCAAACTCCTTGTAATTTCAGGGGGTGAGGACAATACTTCTTTTCCACGCTACTCTTATAATAAATTCAGTTGGCCACATGTGGGGAAAGAAACCATGGAACACCGGTGATATGTCTACAAATAATTGGTATATCGGATCTATTCCCCACTCTGCTATATTTCATCGTTGCTAAATGTAAAATTGGGATATTAATTTGTTTTATGTACGTGATATATTTTTAATAATAATTTAGGTGGATGTCAATTATCACGCTTGGAGAAGGATGGCATAATAACCACCATGCATTTGAATACTCAGCTAGACATGGGTTGGAATGGTGGCAAATTGATATTACTTGGTACGTAATAAGATTTCTTCAAGCTATTGGATTGGCAACGGATGTCAAGGTCCCAACTGAAATTCAAAAGCAACGAAAAGCTTCAAATGGTAGAATCATGGCTACTCAAAAATAGGGTTTTGAAGATTTACTATGTATATCATGGATAACGTTACTAGCTTCAAATCCTCTATGCGCGTTAGTGATGTTGTCAATATTCATGCCTCAAGTGGTATTTTTTTGGCTTCTAAAATAATTACTTATAGATCGTACTATAGAATAATCAGCTCGCATAGCATCCAACTGTCAGCTGCCACAAATATGGATTTATGTAGGAAATTATAGATCAAGTACTAATGAGGATTGCTGGTGGCAAGACTCGAACACTGATGAGGCAGCTACACACAGTATAGAGACCTTACCAACTCAACCCTACTTTCTTCAAAGCTCTATTGAGGTCCAATTGACCCCACTCATCATTTGTGGCTCCACTCTAGTCAGGCAGCAAGGTTCTTTTTACAATAGGAAAATATCAGGAGCCATTCCTAAACAGATGATGTGGCCTTTTTACAAAACAACACCTTTTTCTGTTTTTTCTTTTTTCTTTCAACTACTCTTTTAACTCAAGTCTTGTTGGCTTGTTGTACTTGTAACTAAGGCAAGCTCCACCCTCTTTCTCTTGGTGGCCTTTTCTTTCGGCAATCACCCAATTCCGATCATCACAAAAAAAGAAAAGAAAAAAAAGATCACAACTTGGTTTAGACATTTCTTTGAACAAGTTGGTTGCAACTCATAAACCATTTATTTTAACAATATTAAAAACCTTCTTAGCTTACAATGAGAGAAGAGAAGATTATATTACAAATCAAATAGTTGATTTTATATATTTATCAACATAACTTCATTACAAATAGACCACTTTGGTAAACTAAATAAACATAAGAAATCCACATTCATCAGAGATGGTCAAGAAAGCAACCGTCTAATGTGAAGAATCTGCCATGTACAGGAAATATGAAAACTAAAATTCTACTAAAAATAAAAGTGAAAACAAGAACAGGCAAATCTTAAACCTTAATATTGTGTTTGGACTAACCATCCCAAAAAAATCAATCATGCAGTGGGAGAAGTCGTCGGTGGGCGGAGGTTTACATCTCTGGTTATAGGAGCTGGGTGATTGCTGGAAAGAAAATGCCACTGAGAGAAGAGGGTGTGGACTTACCTGAGTTAAAAAACTAACAAACAAGTCTTGAGTTAAAAGAGTTGAAAGAAAAAAAGAAAAAAAATTAAAAAAAAGGAAAATGTATTGTTTTGTAAAGAGGCCACGTCATCTGTTGAAGAGGAATAGCTCCTCATATATCAAGAATCAAGCATTTTGAGATGACAAGTCAACTTAGTGAGGTATTAAGTTAGGTATGCAAGGGTCTCAAGAAAGTAAATGGTTGAATATTTTGTTGTATTCCAAACGTCAAATAGTACAATACATATATAGAGGCATAGCCTTCTATCAATCCTACTGTTCAGGCTTTGAAGCCGTAATCCAATATTAGTGGGATTTGACCTACACTAATTTGGACAAGTAAAGATATTACAAATATTTACAAAGATATTTCTTAATACTCCCCCTCAAGTTGGAGAGTAAATATCATGAAGTCCCAACTTGTTGTGCAATGTCACACACTGATCCTTCCCCAAGGCCTTTGTAAAAACATCGAATTGGAATCGTGTAGGTACATATGAAGGACTAAATCCAAACCGATCCAATTGGATTTTCAATTTTCTGATCCAATCCAATCCGCCGATGTTGTCGAAACCAATAAAAATTGGATTGGATTGGATTGGATTGGTCGGTTTTAGCGGATTGGTTTGGATCCTGCACAGCCCTAGCTGCAATATACAAAGCACACTCTGAAAGAACTTTTGAACAACAAGTTATGGTGAGACATTTATGGTGAAACTCCTTTTTTTTGCCGTTTCTTCTTCCTCCTTTTGCATTTATGGTGAGCCAACTTCAACAATAAGTTACTTTTGGTCATATGGGACTTTCAAGTTCCACTTACCTTAAATCCCATCTCTAAATACCTCATCCAAACACACTCTAAAAGAACTTTTGAACAAATCACGTGTTGCTAGCAAAATAAAAGGTCTCTTCGCATCCCATTGTGTTCTTGCACTTGTGATGTAAATATTGAGATGACAAGTCAGTAAGGTATTCGGACAAAAAAGGAAAAATTCAGAAAGGTCCAATTGACCCCACTCAATAATAAGGGAGACAATAGGAGAAGTTAGGGGGGAGGACGGCCGTGGGACAATCCTGATCCATAGGGATGGGCTCTGCCTCTGTGGGTCTAGTTTCTCCAAACCTACTACATTAATTTTTTTAGCTGATGCTTGCTTTGCTTCTATTTTGATGACAAGTCAGCGGGCCATGTATTGCAAGGAAGCAAGGGAGTGTTATAAATAGTCTTATAAATAGTCTCTACAATGCCAAACTGAGATCATCAGACTTATATATACATATACATATATAATATAGTGATGGGGCTTTTGGGCATGTTTGTTAGGAAGCTATGTGCAGAGTTTTTGGGGAGGAAATGGAACATACCAGACCCTTACAATGCGGTTGTGTTTTTGGCTTTGCATTGCCTTTGTGTATTTGCGCCCTTCCATTTCAATTGGCCTGCATTTTGGGTGGCCATCACTTTGTACGTTGTGACGGGTTTAGGAATCACACTGTGTTACCATAGAAGTCTTGCACACAGAAGTTTAAGGCTTCCAAAATGGCTCGAGTACTTCTTTGCCTATTGTGGCGTTTTGTCATTTCAAGTGTTGTATGCATATATAATTAGTAACGTCTTTTGTGTTTAAAATCATAGAAAACTCCATAACTTTAAGATCTATTTTCAAATTCGTAAATGAATTACTCCTAATTTATGAACTTCAATCCTCATCTCCATACATTAGAGTAGTTAAAATATCACATTGTCAAACAACAAAATTTAGGCCAATGCAGTGGTTGTGGCCTTGCCCCTTCCCCCTTGCTTGTCACCCAGGATCGAAATCCCAGGGTGTTTCTTTCCTCCCAATGTTTAAAAAAAAAAAAAAAAACAGAACTTAATGATGGGACATGTATAAAAGAAATATTTATTTCATGTTATGTATACATAATCTCGGTCATATCTATAACTTCCACTGTATTATTCTATATGCCTACTATCTATGATAACGCACTTAATCAAAAGATTAAAATGACAAAAATGTATATGCCAAGGATTTGTTGGTGTTTTGGACTTTCAGGGTAGCCCGATTGAATGGGTGAGTACCCACCGTTACCATCATCAGTTTACTGACACAAAGAAGGACCCTCATGGTTTATAAAGCCCCATTTAGAGCTCCGATGGAATCTTTGGGGCTCTAAAGGTATCTCTCCCACAGTGAGAGGCTCTATATTCGGGGCTCTATATTAGGGGTTTGATATTTTTTTAATGATATAATTTAATTTATGTGCTATTTTTGTTTTTTGTTAACTTATTTACGTTAGTGGTTTTTTTGTGAACATTTCAACCCAAAAAAATAAAAAATTGGACAAGATTTGAAAACATGGTTTAAAAAAATAAACCTAGCCATTTAGAACTTGAGGGTTGTAGCCTGAGTTAACTTTACCCAAAAAAATACAAAAAACAATGGGACAAGCTTGTTGCAATTGGCCAATTGATTAAAAAAATAGAAAAAGTAGTCAGCAGCAACTATCAAAATGGGCGAGTATGACTCTGTTGAGTCGCAAGGCAAGTGAGCCAAAAAACTATTGGGCTGGCAGCTTTTTCCAAATGTGGTCCCCACCGGGTTTCAGGGGCTGCAACCGAGTACACAGATTTAGCTTCAGCTCCGGTTAGGCTCTACCATTTAGAGCCTCAAAGTTATACCATTGGGGATGGTTTTTTTCAAAGAGTTGCTATTTATTAGAGCCCAAAGGTGGTGCAGCCCATTTTAGAGCCCCCATTGGGGATGGCCTCACAGCCCCATCCAGAGTTTATGGTTTAGTCACATGGGTTGGTTGCTTGATGGTCGTCGTGGTCAGTTTGAAGAAGAGGTAAAAAGTACACACAATCCCTTCTCTCTCTTTCTCTCTCTCTCTCTCTCTCTCTCATATGTTGGTGTGTATATACATATACAGAGAGCTTCAGTTGACGGATACTTTTGTAGGGCGAACTATGCATTGTATTTCAATGATCTGAACCGTCTAATTTTTAGATATTCTCTAAAAAATGATCTCTGCAAAAAATACTTAAATATGAAACTATTTGAACAGTCAATTAGATAGTTGTTATCATAGTCTTTTCTTGAAGCACTGTATTCGTTTATTTTGTTGATCCCAATTAGATGCCTTTATGATTTTCAATTTGCATGATTTTTTACAAGGATAATCTATGAATGAAAACTTGAAAAATAGACTGTTTGAATAGTTGAAAAAAAATAGTAGGGGACCATAATGAATGTCCCCAATAAAAGGAGACTATATATATACTTATTTTATTTATGTTTAAAATGTGAAATTTACAGCTTGGCGGACTGAAGAACGTTGAAGATTTAAGGAAACAACCCTTCTATAGGTTTCTTCTTCGTACTAACCTTCTACATGCAATTGCTCTTGGAGGTGTACTATATGCTGTGGGTGGATTTCCCTTCTTGGTTTGGGGATTGGTGAGATCGCTTACTCGTTAGTTTACCTTACTTATGCTCCCAAATGATCAGTCTCTATTAATAATTGCTTGACTTGACCATTTTGTATTCATAGTGTTATATGTTGGCGAATATGATTTCCCATGTCGGAAACTTGACCAAATAAAACACAATATATAATGATTGGTTTCACTACTAAAACCCCACACATGCCAAATATGCAGATGGTTAAGTTAGAGACAGTATCAATATCTGTAATAGTGGGCTGCAGATTCGTTCCTCTAGAATCTTAATATGGTATGAGAGCAGGTAGGTTTACTGAGCCAGATTGAACCCAAATCAAACAAAAACCCCGAATTTGACCCTCGAAATTGAAAACATGTAGTTCATTCAAACTCAAACATTCATTCAAAACCTACTTGAAATTCATTCACCATTCACATCACAACATATTCAAATTCATTCATTGAATCAATCCTTTCAATTCAAACTAAAACATATGCATCGTTCATCATTCACATCCATCCAAAGTTTCAAAGTAAACCATATGCATCATTCACCATTTACAAATTACATCCATCATTCCAAGGGCGGAATCAGGAATTTTTCAACGGGTGGGCTAGCTAAAGTTATTAGCTTAAAATTTAATGATAATTTTTTTTGGTACTTACAATTTCTGTAGTCTTTCTAGAAATAAAAGTAAACATTAAATCATAGAAACCATGCTAGTTCATAGCTCCATAGACTAATTTTCAATAAGTTTTAACATAAACCAAATAGGGTTTAACACCATAGTGGATTGAACATCTAAGGCTTTTTACCTAGATTGACCTTAGGTTCCTTCATGCATTCATACCATACATGAAAAATTGTTTTATGTAAAATTATTGACTAAGTATGAAAAATGGGTTTTCAGAATAATCATTTTCTCAAGATAATTTTTGGCAGCTTTTATTCCTCACATATCAAATAAGAAAACTTGATTTTATGGGATTTTAGTATGAAGTATATATTGACTTAATGAGCCATCATTTTTAGCCTAAATCGTATTTTGCACTAAAATCGATTTTTCATAATTTGATTTGGTTGGAATTTGATTTTCTAGTATTTTTATTTGAATCCAAATGGGGGGTACTTCCTTATTTACATTGTAAACTTAAGTAAATGGAGTAATATAAAAATAAAAAAAAGTAAAATGACAAAGACATTTACTTAAATGTTGAAAATGGAAATAAGGTTGTATTATAATTATTTAATTACATATAATTTATAGATATTTATAAAAATACCCAATCCTAGACATGTATTTATAAAAATACCCAAGCACTATTTAAACATAGAAACATACCCAAAATGGGTTTTGGGTATGTGCGTAATGATGGGTTTTGGGTATGTTTATAAATGGGTTTTGAGTGTGTGTAATGATGAGTTTTGGGTATGTTTATAAAGTGTTTTGGGTGTTGGGTATTTTTATAATTTCAGCCCCCATTTTGGGTATTTTAGTGAAACTCCCTATAATTTAACGTACCCGGTTCGATCCGGTTCACTGACGGTTTTTGAAATTGGGAATCGGGTGCCGAATCGCGAAGGCCGGTTTGGTCCGATTCATGCACCGTTGGCCAAAAAAAAAGAAAAAACTGCACCAAACCAGACTGACAGGTTCAGTTCGGCCGGTTTTCGGTCCCATATGCCCAGGTCTAGTGTAAACCAATAACAAAACTAAAAACATAAGTAATACGATTTGGCTTGTTTAAGATCATAAAGAGAACGATTGAGCTTACATAGATTTGGCTTAGAAGGATCCGTGAAGCCTGGAGGTTGATGCATGCACACTGTTTCTTGGAGAGTGCCATGAAGAAAGGCATTGGAAACATCCAACTGTGTCACTAGCTAGTCATAGTTTGAGAGGAACACGAGAGGCTATATGTTGAGCTGTAATGGGAGGCATATAGGTGTGAGGCGCAATGTCTGATAAAGTGGACCAATGAACTTTTGAGAATGGGTTTGTAGCATCATGTGAGGCGTCCATGGTGACCAGAAGAGGAAAAAAAGGAAAAAAAAAGAGGAGCTTTAGAGCAAAGAAAAGGGAAAGGGAAGAATGATGAAAATAGGAGGACCATGATAAAAATCGTGGGCTATTGTAGAGGCGTCGATACCATGTTGAGATTCTTACTAAAGAGAGAGACCATTCCTGATTGTGTGAAAAGGAATTTGTTCATTACTATTCGAAGAATTGTATAACAAGGGTTCTTACAAGGCTGCAGCTTTTCCTCTTGTCTATATATTTACACAAAATATGATGGTCATCATCCAAATCCTTTCCACGTAGGGTTTTCATGAGCTGGATGCTTGTGTGGATAAGTTTGGGTGTCTTTAGTTGTTTCTTGTCCTTTTTTATGAAGCTGGGTGTGTTGAACATTTTGTGGCTTATCAAGAATTTCATGCAGTGTCTGACGTGTTTGGAAGTTATGTAATGAACTTTTGCATGGGAAGATAGTGCCTAGATTGGAAGAGATAGTAGAGAGGACTATGGAGAGAGCGAAGGATTCAAATCTCTCCCTGCATATTAGGTGAATCAAACCACCAATCCAAACTTTCATGCTTAATTGTGATGGCGTAGTGGGCAGGCAGGGACGGACATGCTAGAGGCTTGGGGAGCTGCTATAGTGAGAATGAAGGAAATTGTTTGAGTGCAGTGCGCTAGGATTGGATGTTCTGGGAATAGAGTTGGTGGCTGTACGTGAAGGCTTAATGATGATGGCCTTCAAGTGTTACACCTGATTTCTTCTTGCAACGAATTCTGAAGAAGCATTGGCAATGTGGCGGAAGATATTAGAAGGCTGCCAATTGATAGAGGGAGGTGATAATACAAATGGTGTGTGGTATATGCCCTTGCCAAATTTTGATTGAAGGATGGAACAAGGTTCTTTTGGGACGCACCTCCTTGATTGGATTTACTTATGGAAAAATATAGGGAGTTGGGGTAATTTTTACCATGTTTATGAATGCTTTTGGGAGGTGGAGTGGTACTCTTTTTCCTTGACCGAATTTTCCTCAATGGTGAGTTTTGTAAGGCAAAGTTTATACTAGGCCACATATATTCCCTCCCGTCCTTACAGTTGTTATATTGTATGTCTTTAAACTTGTATGAAGTTCTTTTCTTTGATGAAATTAAAAAAAAACTTTGGTAATCCATACAAACAAAAATTACAATGGACTCTATTATTTAGTGTCCTTTTTTCTCTTTCTTTTGATCGATATAAGTGATACTGGGAGAGGGTGGTTTTCTCACACACTCGAACCTAAGACCACTAATATATAAGTTAAGACCTTTTTCCACTGGGATAGACCTTATTATCCTTTGTATTATAAATTTATCTTTTCTGTGCAAGCCGGGGTTTTTTGTTGGCCATAAGCTCCAACTTCTACGTCTAATCAAGGTCTATATAGCTCTGGGGTAACTCTATACAAGGACCACATTTATGAATCGTATTGTATATCACATATGTCTAACTATTGAGTGGTACTATAATCAATTAGAGTAGTATCCTTAGATATGATTCTTATTTTCATTAAAAGTTGGGTAGCCTTCAACCTATAGCTTTTTATTTTTCTTGTAACAATAGTTTTTCGATTTATTTACACTAACATCCCTTCAGGTTTCGGCTTTTTCACAAAACTCCTTGAGGTTTCAAAAATTACACAAACAACCCCCGAGGTTTCAAATTATTTTCACAAAACCAATTTTCGTTGATTGTTTGTCCAAAACTTGATGATTTCATTTTAAAAAACGTGTGCAAATAACAAAATCAACCTCAAGAATGTATGTGCAATCTAATCTCAAAGGCTAAGTTTGTCATTTGGAGAAATTTTTTATTTAAAATAATCAATCTTTGGATGAAAAATCACCAAAAATGGGGTTTTGTGCAAATAATTTAAAATTTGAGGAGGTGTTCATGTAATTATTAAAACCTCAAGGAATTTTATGAAAAAGCCCAAACCTAAGGGGTTGTTAGTATAAATAAGTCATAGTTTTCCTATCAATCGTAAATCAGTGATACTTATTCAATGTAAGTCAATAAAATTTCACCAATTAATGTAACTGCTTTTTATTCATTTTTGGATTAGGTTTGGGGCTTATTCTCCTTGCAACCCACCCTAATAACATCTCTACCAAACCATGCTGCACCTAGCTAACCCAAGGGCTTCCATCAAAATTAATGTTCATATTATTATGAGGCACCCCCCGAAGCTTTAATTTACAAAAAAAATAATAATATGAGTTGACATTCTAACATGAAAAGATATATCCAACGCAAACACTAGAAAAATATATGAGGAAATCACGTGTATAAGGTTCTCTTCGTTAAAAAATTGCCAAACAATAAAATTATGATACATGTTTAGGTTCGGCATAGCACACACAATAGAAAAGAAGTGTCTCTTGATAATCCTATCGTCATATGCAAATACAATCGTCACTACTACAAAAAGTGAAAAAGACGACCAGAAAACAACGACGGTAGAACAAAATACCTTCGTTGTGTTTAGAAAGACGATGGTAATAGAAAACTATCGTGGATAAGTAACTTAAACACCTAAAAAATGGAGGTCCGCTTGAATATTTTTAAAAAATGATGCATCCAAATAAAAAAGCGTCATCTTATTAAAAAGGTTTTCTTCAGAGTTAAATTCTGACAAAAAGCAATGACAGCAGGTATGAAGCCACCGACGTAGAAAGTAAAGACGACGGTTCAACAAAACAGCCGTTGTGTTAACTCCAACATAAACATGACCAACCGTTCTTAGTCCACATCGTATAATATTAATGAAACCACGTTGGTATATTACAAAACAACGCCGTGTTAAATCAATGTACCACGATGCGAAAGATAAATTTATTGACTTGTTATTTGCGTTTGTACTACGATGGTACCTACAACACTACTGTCGTATAGAGTAGTAGAGAACCACGACAGCAGAAGGGTGGATAACGACGCCTAAATTAGAATATCCATGTCGTATTTATTATATTGAAAGAC